CTCGTTGGCCCGCCGCCGCCGTCCTCCCACACCGAATTGCTGGTGGGGTACAAGATCCTGCACCACACCCTGTCCAAGGAATCCCAGCTGAAATACCTTCACTGGCTGCGTGGGGCAAYCCTTCGCGGCCCGGAGGGSTCCCTCAAGGCSATAATGTCCGTGATCTACGAGACATCTGGCGACCGCCTTTCCGAGCTGGAGGATCTCTTTCGCGACGAGCACCCGGCGATCTCGATCGGGGAGGCACCCGTCTCGGCCATTGGCGATTCCATCCAGAAGGAGGTTGAGGCCTCGTCGACGGCCGAGCTGGTCCCCCTGCCCTTTCTGTCGCCGACGGCATCGAGGGAGGAGTGGGGGGTCCGGTTCCTGCTGGTCCAGGCCCAGGCCACGCGAATGGTGGTGGCCCTGGCCACATCGCTGCGGAAACTCGAAAMRAGCGAGGCCCGGAAGCAATGGCTCGCGGGGCTGGCCGCCGAGTACGAGGCCATCCGGGAAGACCTCGTGGAGTGCGTTGGATCGAGGAGGGCAGGAGGAAGGGGGTCGGGAGGGGGCAYGGGGATGAAGGAAAGCCGGGTTGGACCGGAAGGAACTCTGAGGGCAAATCCAACGTAGATAGCGAGGAACGACACCGCTGCAAAACGAGGTGCTTCTGTTTTATTCGCCAGTTTGTTGTAACGCACTAGTTTTCTGCCGTTCGTTGGTATTTCTATGGCAGCAATGTAAAGGAGGCAAGCARTCCATGGGAGACACTTTTGGGTTTCCCTGGGGTCTTGATGGATCGTCATTTAGAAGTACTAAAGTATACATGGAAAATAGTTTTGTTACTACTCTTGTCACCAGTGATGCTTTGGCGTAGAACTGTTTTGGCTCGTATGGTTAACCCRCCTGCTCCAAAACACAACCCTCCGGCACACAACGAAGCGAGGACGGTTTTTTTTTGGGGGAGAGGACGGGTGCAAGGAGCGATTCCACTGCGTAGCGTGGTGTTTCCCACCCGCGCTGTGGACACCTAGACACCGCAGTCAGTCGGCCATTCGGGAGAGCTGGATCCGGGGTTTTCTYCCCGTTGCTAGCAGCAAGAATGGAAAAATGCACTCACAACTATTTTGGCATACGGTAAGCGCAATGAACTGTAGAACCAATGGTTCGGACTAAATAAGGAGCAATTAATACTAGCTACTCTGMTAGGCGTTGTGCATCGATTTGTGGCATTTCAGTATATCTATACCATTGTGGATTCGTTTCGTCTCCACGCGCAAATTCTCTTCGTGTGTGTGTGTGTGCGTGTGCATGTGCGTGTGCCTCGTTGTGGTTTGTTGCATTGCATTGCATCGCATCGCATCGTCTCTTCTGGAACGCCCGGCTGCAGAACGACATCGTTGCAGCGGCACATAGATCGGACATCCCCGATCCTTTCCGAAACTAGCAAAGTCGACGGCACCACCRCAAACAGCAGAAACCAAGGTACCGAGGCATAGCTAGTGAAATCGTTCGGAAGCAAAACGGATCGAGTCGAGAGGCGGGTCCTTTCTTCTCCGGAAGGACATAAAAGATCGGAAAAGGAACGGGCGGGACAGGGTCTCGGAACGGTCGGTTGGCTTTTGGCGTTGCTCGTCCACTCCCGGCGCCCATGGCCGGGGACCGGCTTTCGCTCCCGCTACACCACAGCCTGGTGCGGGACCGCCCGTGGGTGCGTGCATTGCATCGCATCTCATCGCATCGCATCAGCCAAAGTACTCGGACCATCCCTTCTGCGCGTACGTCTCCCTCGGGGTTTCAAAGTGCCGGACGTCGACGGCGTCGAGAAAGGAGACCACCGAGTTGGAGGACGCCAGAGAGGACGAGGAGGAATTCTGCAAGCCCATCTGGCTCGAAGCCGCCGTCCAGGAGGCAACGGTGGTGGCCGCCGACGACGACGAGACGGAGGCGTCCGTTCCGGGGGTGCCCGCTGCCTTTCGGTGGGGCGAGTACTTCTGAAAGGGCCGGAGGCAGGACGCGCCCGGGGCGGGTGCCAACCTGGGCATGGACAGGTTCTTGTCGCTCGGGGTCAGGAGCCTGTGGTGGTGCGTCTCGACACAGGGGAGGGAGACGGACTTTCTCCAAAGGCCGTTGCCGGTGTCGCTGCTCCGCCTGGAAGAGGAGAAGGAGGASGTGGTCCTGAGTGCCGGGTGGGAGAGCGGGGCYACCGGAAGAATGGATCGCCGCGCAGGCGATGGGCAATTCGATGGCTGTTGTTGCCCTTGCMC